TTTGAGTTGTGGTCATCTTTGCAGGAACTGAAGAGTGTATATAGGGGGCACTTCGTATTTTTTTATGGGCTTTATTTCTGGTTCGAGGTCAACCTTAAAGAGTTGCTGTGGCTTTATATCCCTGTTAAGGATATTGAAGACTGTCTTAGCGCTAAATCCCTTTTCTTGTAGCGCCTTTGTTATCTCTGCAGGCGATACTTCGGCCTCTTTGCCCTTAAGTACGACTTGCAGCCCCTTGCTGCTTTTTAGCTGATACGTGTAAAAGTTTTTTTTTTTCGGTGAGATATTTCGATAATACTATGTAATTATCTTCAGACTTCGTTTGAACTTTTGTTTCCTGGATGTTCCCCTTTACGAGTGGTATTATGTGAAAATTGTCCTTGCCAATAAGCTCTATAATTTTGTTGACAAGAACCTTGGAACTTTACGTTTAAAAATTCGGTCAAGTTTGGGGCAATTGACCGTGTTTGGGAAGAGCTTGCATTACTTTCGGTTGCTTTGAAAGAGAAGTAAGCGTTGTTTCTTTGAACTGAGAGCCGTCTCTCGTCTTGCTCACGTTGACGTTGTGTGCGAACGTCGCTTAAACTCATTGCAATCGAGGTTGAGTTTGTTAGAATTTTAGCGATTTCATCGCTGAAAGCGTCTTTACGCGTTGTTGTTGGTTTACGAAACCAGTCACTGCACTTTTTGGATATTATTGAATACTTTTTTTCCCGGAGCACAATAAAATACACGTCTGCATACCGCAACGGTTCGAGTGACTTCTTAAAACAAAAAAAATTCGAATTTTATCGGCGCAGATTAATTTTTTGAAAATCAGTCAGTTGGCCAGATAAGCTGTATGGTGTCGGGGAGATATGACTTTAAAAACAATTTAAAAGCAGATTTCGGTACATCTCAGCTATCAGGAAGAAGCGTTGAAGGCAATCGACACCACTCTACAGAAATATTGGTTTGTGGAGGACTTGCCGCCTAAAGCTAATTCCGTACTTCTGTTGTGTACAACACCTTGAGAAAAATACTTAAAGACTGTCGTCCAGAAGGTTCGTTTCAGGCTGGTTTCGGCAAGCAGAAAGACAGACAGACAAGGAGTCATACTAACAGACAGACAGACAGATAGACTGCAAGAATGAAATTTTGCTAGTGGAAATTTCCTAAGCGCCACCTATTGTCGGAGAAAGCATGTTGGGTAACTGATAGTGACGTCACTGCCCATGTGAGGCCTTATAACTTAAATTTCTTTATAAATAGCGATTTAATAGAGATTGACAAAAATAAGTTATACAAGATATAAGTTATACAGTTGCAGTGACATCTTTCAAATACGAACTTTTCAGCAACAACTTTCTAGCTCTTACATTTCCCGAGATTTTCGAATTTTTGGTTTTCGGGTTTTGTGGGCGTGGCTTGATCGGACAAAAACAATTCGCTTAAGAGGCATCATTAAAACCTACATGCTTAATCCGAACTTTCTAACATTTATAGTTACCGAGATATAAGCATTTCCAGAAAATGCGAAAACCGTCTTTTGATCTTGGTGGGCGTATGGGTGGGTAATAATAATAGTAGATAATAGTACCACTACCAAATGCGCTGGCATCCAAAGATTATACAAACTGAATTTAAACTTTCTAGCTCTAATAGTTCGAGATTTCAGCGATTTTAGTTTTTCTTGATTTGTGGGCGTTAAACTTGCGCTGTCTAGGGACCTCAAGAATCTTCATGCTTAATCTCAACTTTGTTTCTGTAATAGGTTCTGAGATCTCAGCGGTCATACGGACGGACGGACGAACAGACTGACGTGGCTCAATCGACTTCCCTATTGATCCTTATTAAGAATATATATACTTTATAGGGTCAGAAACCCTCCCTTCTATCTGTTACGTACTTTTCAACGAATCTAGTATACTCTTTTATTCTACTCTACTCTAGTAACGGGTATAGAAAGAATTATGAACCCGAAAATTGGCATAGACGAAATACATGAGAGTTTAAGCCTGAACCCAACACATACATATCCTAATGTTTCCATAAAAAATTTTAATTTAATTATTTAGTAATTTCATTACTGAGTTCTAAGGTGGGACTCCCAACTTTCTCTTATAATATAAAAGAATCAAGGCTCATTCGGAATTTTACTGTACGTATAACGGATATAAAATTCTCTAACCAACAATCTGATGAATTGGGAGCGGAAACCATTGATAAATAAATGCAGTGTGAAAACTAACTTCTTAAATTCAAATATCTGGGATTTTGGAACAGTTTTGGGTCATACCGTTTTAACATGTGTAGGTTAAGTATTAAAGTTAATTTAATTGGAAACATTTAAACTTGTCGTAATTGAAAAAACCCGCTCGTACTTGACGACCTCCAAAAAAGCGTCCATTCAAGTCCACTACAGCTGTAAAGAAAAACATTAGCTATATTTTTTTTTAATATAATGTAAATATAACCTTTAATGGCACTTTCGATGCGCTTAAATTCCACGAATATTTTAACAGCATCCTCAGGGACGGTGTCAAATGCTTCGTGAATGATGACCATGTTCACTTCCCCGTACTTTGTATTGCACTCGTCCTTTACCTCGGGCTCCAACTCATCATCTACGTCTCCGGGGCCTACCATGTTGCGAAGGAAAACTACTTTGCTAGGTGATTTCATAATCTCTGTAATGCTGGGCTCTGTATCGGAGTCGTTACTTAGTCTCATTGGCGAACTAATCGCGGGGGACGATATTGACGACGGCGGTGGAAAAACGTCTTTCTGGTGTATGATGCGACCGCCCCGTTTAGAGGTTTTCTCAACTTGCAGGGCTATTGACATACCCTGCTCGGATTTTCCAAGTCCGTGTCCATCCCTAAACCCATATTTAGCCATAATTTTGGCGGCTACCGAGCTTGCTGATTGCGGCACGGTAAGGTTGAACGATCCATCTCCACTATCATTGAAAATTTCTTGAAGCGAAGGAGGAGGAGCGATCGTGGCACCTCCTCCCTGCTTAGATGCAGGGACCGAAGATGGGCTCTGCGTGTCATTATCGTGTTGACGCTGGCCAAGAGCGCTAAATTTAATATTAGGCGGCAAGACGTCGTCTTTATGGACTTCTCGACGACCTATACGTCCTCTTTTCCGCTCCCTGTCTTTGTCTATATCACGTTCTTCTCGCTTGGGCCCATCCACGCTGCCACAGGCGCTACCTCGGGACTTCTCATTGCATTTTGTTTTGTTTTTGATTTTTTCGTATTCATTTGGCCATTGCGGATCGTACTCGTCCAAAAAATCCCAGTCTTCCTTATGTTGGTTTATTATCTTGGGCGGTATGGCTTTGCCAGTAATAATGGGCTTGGCTACCTTACACATTAAAGCAATACATTGAGCATCTGATTCAACGGAGCGCTTAGCTTTAAGATTAACCACCGGTGTCATCAGCTGCATTGAATTAATATGTTATATCGTATTAAAAAATATAGTTAGAACTCTTACAGGTTTTTTGACAGCCTTTTTTACCACCAGCTGGGTTTGTAACATTTTTATTCCCGACGACCAGCCATCTATTTGGTTCGTTCTTGGCTTGGTGTCTATATCGTCGTAAAGATTCATCTACTTAAATTTTAAAATAATTGCCTTTCGAGATATACGCTACTAATCCGAAGGAGCTAAGTACATTACACCGAAATATATGTACTAGTGGAACTATAAGATGTGCTTCAACTTTACGTCGATGACTTAGCGGCGATTAAGAATCAGTGGAATATGAAACATCACATTACTAAGCGATTCCGTGTTCCAAAGAACGTGTTAAAATATATAAAAGCACCTTTCCCGATATTTTAAAAATGTTTTAACTATTCCCATACAGGAAGTTCCAAGTGCTAGACTTGATAAATATCATCCCATTCGATATTTTAGATAATTTATCTTTAGTTTTATATTGTGATATCCCTACTAAACTTACTATCCCGAACTCTACTATATATGTATATTTGCATATTATTTACATGTTTGTTTTTATTTAAAAACAGGAGCTTATCGACAACGGTTGATGATAGCCGCGTGCGACGTTCACTTATAAGTTGTCCAGCTTTACTGAAAACTCTTTCAGATTCGAACGAATATTCCGGATCGCAGAAGTATTATTAGGCTAACGTTTTGAAAGCGTCGCCATTTAATTAAGTGTCAAAGTGTTAATTCGTCAATCTTCCTCAATCTTCCTTAGAAATGGAAAAACATCGATGTTGCTCCGGTAAACATCGATGTTGCCGATGTTTCGAAAACATCGATGTCATCGATGTTCGCATCGATGTTTCTCCACCTCTAATATATATATGTATAGTCTGCACATAATTTATGATTTGGAAGTTTATTCCCTAATATCTCGAGAAATACGTAAGGGAAATTAAAATGTAATATCTCAAATGAAAGATATTAATTTCGAGCATATATTTTAAACATAAAATTAACAAGTTAAATTTAATACTCGATAATTTCCTTAATAACGCAAATAAACTCATTTTTTACGCACAAAAATTATTTGTACATCTATCATTTTTAACTTCTATTTCTGAATCAAGCGGTGATCCGCGATTCTTTTTTGGACTGTACTTCGGAGCAAGCTACGGTGTACTATTCTCAAAGTTGTTTAGTTAGTTTCGCGGCTTTTTTTTGGAATGGACAAAATGGGTCGTGGTCAAGATTTATCCCTAAATTTTCGAAAAACTATAATAAAATTATATTTAGCGAACCGAAAATAACCCCAAATTGATAGAAATATTGTCAAGTCATCTTCCACAATGCAAAGTTTGATAAAAAAAAACGTAAACACTGGAGACTTTGTAGTAGAACATAGAAAATCTGGAAGGAACCACATATTGACACCACGGCAAGAGCATAAAGTTGTAAATACACCATTACAAAATCCCAGAATAACATTTACAACAATTCTTAAAACCCTAGAGAAGCCTTAAGAAAAAAATGATGTACCCAAATCATCCGGAACACCCTGCACAATGCTGGTATACATGGTAGAGATGTTCGTAAAAACTTATTAATTTCTGATTATAACAAAAAATGCGTTTTGAGATCGCAAAAGCGCATGTAAGCAAGCCGGAATTGTTTTGGAAAATCGTTCTACTTATAGACAAATCAAAAATTAAAAGTATGTCAAAAGGCAAATTAGGGCATGAAGGAAACAACTTGATTCCAACTTTTAAGCGCTTATACAGCTGCAGGTGGAGTGGGTCGAATGGTCTTTATGGAAGATAAAATTAATAAATTAATTTATGAAGACATTTTAGGCCAAAATTTATTCCAAGTGACCTTAAATTTGGACAGAATCCAGCGTCTTTCGTATTTCAATAAGATAACGACGATAAGGTCGAATGGTCTTTATGGAAGATAAAATTAATAAATTAATGTATGAAGACATTTTAGGCCACAATTTATTCCAAGTGACCTTAAATTTGGACAGAATCCAGCGTCTTTCGTGTTTCAATAAGATAACGACCAGAAATATTTGTCGTATTTAGTGCAAGAGTGGAATTTCTAATAGGCATCACGGTTTCTTTCGGTGAGCTCAGAGTTGGGTGAGCTCTACATAGTGGGTGTTTTGTACTATTAGTTGACCATTGCTCAATGTAGCGGCGGAGAGCAAGTTGACGTGAGGCATGTTTTAAGCTTTGCTTAGCAGATGGCGATCTGTGAAATTGCCATTCTCGACGTAAGCGTCGCTTTTTGAGGACGAGCTGTTCGATTTGTAGATTTGTCTTCTTTTGAGTGCATTGTGTGTTTATAGTTTGGGGTGTTGAAACTCAAGCTGCAGAGACGAGTACAGGCTCCAGTGAATTAACAAAACTGTCTACGTTGGCTTCATGGATGAGGTGAGGACTTAGCTCAATGTGTGAGCTAATATACTTCCTGTACTTAGCCCAATTGGTTTTATGTAAGGTCGGTTTTAATGATTGATCCCATATTCCTGGATGTCGGAGTAGAGTAAAAAGGACAGGCGAGTGATCAGATGAAAGATCCGAAAGGCATTGGGCGCTTATCCTATTTTTAGGAATGTTTTTGGTAATCGCAAAGTCTATTAAATCATGAAGTTTCATTGGGTCTGCCGGCCAGTATGTTGGTGTGCCAGAAGAAACGTAGTCGATCTTGTTCTTAGCTTTGATAATTGCATTATAGACCTGCTTTCCTTTTGGAGTCACGAGACGAGATCCCCAGTGTGTGTGCTTGACATTGTAGTCTCCTGCTGCTATGAAGTGGTCTCCGAGTGAGTTGAAAAACTGCATAAACTCATCTTCGGCGTTAATTGCTTGCCAGTATTTAGGTGTATATGTATGGATGTGGCCTGTAGGTAGTTTTTAGCAAAGCAGCATTACGTCGATTTGATGGTCTAGTAGGAATTGCGCTAACTCGAGTTTATGCTGCGAAACGCCGTTAGCGTTCCACGTAGATATTGGTTGGGAAGTCATTATTTGGATTGTTATGAAACCAGCATTTGTATTAATAGATTTTGGTTTCGCATCAGATCCTGCATTGTTGTACGCATAAACGACATCAACTCTGTAAGGATTTGTTGTAGACTGCATATCATAGCTTCAAAGTTATTTTTTGGCTGCTCCGGCGGTTGATGCTGCTGAGCCGTGTTCGGTTCTTGGTATGCTGATTACGGCAATGAGCTTTTTTAGACTGGGGTAGTCATTCCTGATTTTAAAGCACTTGCGTATGTAACATTTTTGGCAGAGTTTATGGGTTCTAGTGAGGATCTGGCTACAGTCGAAAAGAAGACTTCAGGGTTTGACCTAAGGGCTATCAACTGTTTATTTTGGTGGATACGACTTTTCAGCTCCTTATAAACTGGACCACCTCTATAGTTAGCAGTGTGATTTCCACCGCAGTTGCCGCCCTTTTTCGAGTTGTGGTCATCAGCATTAATTACCTATTTCCGTGCGTAAAGCTTTATCTTGCTACTACAAGTCTGATTCTATCAAGGTTTTTCATCCGAATACTGGGTAATCTCATCAGTTTTCTAGTTCTAGTTTAGTTCCATTGCATATTCCCGTGTTGGTTCCTCTTCCCTCTACCGCAGTTGCCTGATCTGCATGTCAAACTGTTCCTGAAATATCGGCGGTGGGAAGTACTCCAGTAGCTCTCTTCTCACCTTCTTCCGAAGTCCTAGTCCGGCTTGGCGTCGTATTTCACTAGTCCTCCACGGCGCCTTCCAGGATAAACGGCATCACCTGCACTAGTGCATCCCTGTCCATGCCGTATCCTACGGCCCATTCCTCCATTTTGCGGGTTGAATGTGCCCTGGTATTGTATTACCCAGCTCCTCACTCTATCCAGGGGGTCTACTTTTACCCTTTTTCCACTACTCTGTATTTCTTCTCCTGTGGTCATCACCTTTTTGCTGTCTTTCTCGTCGACCTGGACTCCTCCACGCAGCATTTTTCTTCTGGTATTTGCTTTTTTAACTCCATCAGTCTTCCCTTGATGTCCTTCGTGTGCTCTGTGCACTTTGTCTCAACTCTCTTGACCTTCCGCTTGGGTATACGTCGAACTCGCTTGGGTATTCTATTATTTCCGATTTGTAGCTAGGTATACAGCATTTGCTCATTTGCTCAGCATTGCTCTCTTGGTGTCCTTCTTCCTGCACCCACTTTCACCTGTTCCAGCGCCGTGAAACGGTCCTGCTTTGGGGTAGGATGGGACAGTTCACTGGATGCCAGCAGTTCGTTCCAATATTTGTTTGATGTCAGGTGTGGTCAGAGAAGATTCCATTTCAATCCCAGAGTATGACGGGGGTTTATGCGGTATAGTCGAGTCATTTATTGCACATTTAGGTTTACAGAGTTTACTATCAGGGTATCGAGACTATTCTCTAGCGTTGACGGTCCTTAGGGTTGACGAAGAAGTGTTCCCAAACGGGTGGGATGAGCTCTCGAGGGAATGCGAGGCCCGTTGTGTCTGCCGCGTGAGAGATTGTGGAGACCCTGTGCTACTCGAGCGCATCGTCTAATACCAATGTGCGATGCTCCCTCGATATGACCAAGTAGAATTTAGGAGAATCAGCGCTAGGCTGAATCTTACCAAAAGAGACGATTGCTGTCTGCAGGGAATGGTGCCCACAGATAAGGGAGGCTGATCTTACCTGATCTAGGCTGACTCCGAAAGTGAAGTTTCTTAGCGAACCGGTCCTCCTTTGGTCGTGTGACCGATCGTACTGTTCTGGTAGTGTGCTACGAGGTCCGCTCTACCATCCCCCACCTAAGCCTCCGAGAGCGGGATCATAAAAAAACAATACAAACTGATGTCGTTGACCAGCAGTTGCCGAGGAAAGAGCAATATTGACACCTCTGCTGGAGCAGCCGGGGGAGCCAGAATGCTGACGGATCATTTTCTCCAACGGGTACGAGACCGGATGCATTCTCGAAATGGTCGCAAACTCCGTCGTAGCCGAAAATGCTGACCACGTATGTCTTCCTATATACCAATCTATGTACCTAGAGTTAGGTCTCACCCTTTAAAGGGCAGATTAAAGAATATATAATCTGATTTGGACGATCGAAAAGAGCAGAAGATCTTATTAATGATTGATACAATAACGTAACTTGAGCCCGCGCATTTAAATTCAAAATGTTTATTCTATAACAACTTAATTTTTTACGACTTTATGGATATTCCTTATAACTATAAAATATGGCCCTAATTGATCTCTTACTT